CAACCGCAGTTCAAATATGAATTATTTCATATATACTTCACATCATTTCACTCCTCACGGGAAGATATGAACTCAATTAATTGACCTCGCTCCCAGTGTCTGGCTTCATAGCTCAGTTGGTAGAGCATCGCACCGGTATCGCGGAGGTCACGGGTTCCAATCCTGTTGAAGCCCTGATTTTTTTCAGGCTTCTTCTTTCCAGTTGCTTAAATTGGAAAATTTACTGCGATGATCATACTTCACTTTCATCTACTACCGCAGTTCAAATATGAATTATTTCATATATACTTCATAACCTGGGTTATCTTAATCAGCTTTGAACAACCCGGCCCAGGAGCTCCGCTTTTAGGCTTGGCTAAATCTATATATTATGGCCCTCTCTAGCCAATTATCAGCTGTGTTATAACAGATGAGATTCACATGTGCCCACTCAGCGGAAAATCGCGTGTTAACCCTGTTTACAGGGGAATTGTGGCATTTTTTCGTTTCTTTGATCGCTTTTGCCGATCCGTTATGATCACTTCTACTCGAGGAAGCATTCATCAAGGTCATAAAGCTTTCATTGAGCATTCTAGAGGCCGACAGTGTGCATTTATGTCACTGGCATCTTTGCTTTTAAATTGATCGGATTTGGTCAATTTCTGGGCACAAACAAATATCGATGACATCTTATGTCATGGAGATGGAGATTGCATGTATTTGAATTCGTGAAGCTGTTACTGGGCTTGTAGTAACCTACAATAAGCGTACCAAGGTAGTAATCAAAATTGTCAGACCAAATATACAGTCCGTCAGTCCATCATGACAAGCTTAATATACAGTTGAGCTATAGATCATGATAAGGCCCGTTTTTAGTTAAAGGTTGTTACCGGGCTTGGAAGACATAGTAGTAACATACAATAACCATGCCAAGGTAGTAACTAAAATTTTTAGACCAAAGACATCGCCAATTTCCATCATGACAAGCTTAATATACAGTTGACCTATACATGATAAGACCCGTTGTTCGTTACATGTTGCATTTTAATAAACCGAGATGTTTATTTTCCACTCTTACGATCGAGCATAAACCCTAAGGAACCAACAGTTAAACCAAAAATGGCATGGCTAGTCATCATTTACTGTATTGCTTTTATTCATTAAAAGTACATGTAACCATGTTGTTTTGGAAATAAAATTAGTTATATTTACGTTCAAGTTCCCGTTGTCATATTTACATACAAACAGGCTACTTACGGCAGCACTCACTTCTCAATGAGAACTCCTAGTTATACATCAAATATGAGAGACAGCATTTTGTCACATTTCCAACCAACCTGAAGAGGGTTGAAGATACGACACGCGGCGGAGTATTCAATAAAGGTGTTCAGTAGGAATGTGGTAAAACATGGTCGCGAGTACATCTTCTCGATCAAACCTAAAATTTAAAATTAAGGAGAATTTAAGGGGAAAATATAATCGCAAAAACCAGTAATAACCCAAATTCTTGACTAAGTCCACTCAATGGCTTTCGATTTAATTTTTATTGCATGACAGTCAAAATGCTCTATAGCGGTCTTTCCTGACAGTTTTCGAACGATAAGGCAAGGAACAACAGGTAAACCGTTTTCCTATCAACTATGTTCTATGCTGAGCCTATGCTCCCTGTAGTATCATAGCGGAGCTTCGGCGGCCCGAAGGGCCGCCCAGCGGAGCCCCAAAAGAACAGGTAACCCATGAATTGATCTTCTCATGGTTATCATGGCAAGTGGTATTGCGCGTGGGCGCGTACGCACGACGACGGCGACGACGACGGAGTCGTGCAAGATGGCGGCCATACTCCAGCTAAAAGGTTGACAGAGACATGCAGCCCTGATTTATAGCCTCCTTCTTTGATATTGGACATCCATGTTATGGTCAACTGATACATGTCAAAACAAGGTACCCGCTGACCAGTATCACGTGACCATATCGCGAGCTCAAGTTTAGAGCTTATCGAGGTCACGTGTTTTCTGTTGGATCGCGGGCTCATGTCAGATTAACTTGTTGTAAACGGAGCCGGGTTGTTCGGAAGCCGGTCAATGCTAACCCAGGATTAATTAAAAGTTTACAGAAGTGTAAATATTTCTTGTATACAAATATTTTTCACTACTTTTGTTTTGTTTATTTTGAGATTATTCAAACTCAAAACATAAGGCCAAACAATATACAGAAAACCTCACTGTAAAGTTACAAAACTCAAATCAAATGGCTTAACTTGGGTTTTCTTAATCGGGCTTTGAACAAGGCTTGGGGCTTGGCTTTAGGCTTGGCTAAATCTACATATTATTAATTAGATAATGCAATTAAAGAGTTTTCATTGGCTTGGCCATCATGATCATGGTAAGTAAGCCATTATACCATGCAATACTCATGCTCTACAAATATGGTAAGGGTACGCTTAATTTTTGGGGCGCTTTTTATTTTTATCAGGAGCCATAATCGGGGGCCCCGATCATGGCTCCTGTTTTAATTTTATTTTAGTTTGGGGGCGTTTTTATAAAATAATTATTCCACTCGCGCTTGTTGGATATGAGATGGTTATTGCCCAACGCGCGCTGGTGGAATAAGTGTTAAAATAATTAACTTGCCCTTATTGATAGCATGGAAACGTCAGTCATCTGTCGCCCTCAACCTAATCCCCCTTTTGCAGGCCCGCCCCACCCTCCCCGACCTCCCGATACATATCTCAGGTGACAGCAATTCTGGGAAAGCAGGCTTTCTACGAATCACAATCCCAACAATTGTTGTAGCTTTGTTGCAGAATAATTTGACTGTTTTCGCTTCGAGTTTTCACAGTCAATCCCTTCTCTTGTCTCCATCAACAAAAGAAACATTTGGATCCTATTTCTGTCTAGGAAAGGAACGTCTAATCGATGGCCAAGGCTTCATTTTTGGCACAGAAGTTGGAATGCGCGGTTTGCTCGGAGAAGTACAAGGAGCCTAAAGTTTTGCCATGTCTTCACTCATACTGCAAAAAATGTCTGGAAGGTCTATTAATGAAACAAGGAGTGGTGTGGAGGATAAATTGCCCATCTTGTCGGATTAGTGTGGAGGTTAGTTAGCGAAATGTTTGATTTGTGATCAGTATGCGTCCTCCGTCCCCCCACCCCCCGCCCCGTCCCCCCGCACCGACCTCACCGTGCAGTGATGAAATCGCTTCTTCTGAAATTTTGGTCGAATTTGTCTGTGTTATTTTTCCGTGGTTAACTTGATGTGGTAAGATGTTTCAGTGATCTCATATGTAAATATTAACAGCTTGCACTTCGGCTGGGGAGAGGTTGTGTCCGGAGGGAGGGGAAGGTGCATCCTGATGGATACTGAATTTGGAATATTAAGCTATGATTAAACATTATACAGTGGCGTGGTCTGCATAAATGAGCACTTCGTTATCCAAAATTCCAGGAATTAACATCCTCTTCCAACAGCTTTCGGAGTCTTGTATTTCCTTGACCAAGTTTCCTCTGACAGGGAGACCTCAAATTATACAATCAAACCTCTGGTTGCGACCACCTCTCCTCAGCGAGGGGTTTTCTAAAACACCAAAAGTTTCCAAGTCAGATCATTATATTTGGAACCTCTTGTAAGCAACCACCTCTCATAAGTGACCACAACCACTTTTAGAGCTAAAAGTTTGAAATTTTCTTTCCTCCCATAAGTGACCACTTCACGGATAATAGAGCGGAAATTGGATAATAAGGTGTTGTAACATTATTTTATTCCAGGGTAGTACAAGAGATATAAATATTTCAATGGGAAACCAAATTTTTTCTCAAAATTGACTTTTTACATGAACAAAATGTTTAAAACATGGTAAGTCTCTGCAGTTACTGTCAATATGCTAATGAGGCAAAATTTTGATCCACTGTGGTCTAAACTCTCGCAAGCGACCTCCTCCGGTAAGCGACCACCTAGGCTTGACATTTTGGGTGGTTGCTGTAGTTGCCCTGGTTGAAATTAATTCTCAATCTGTCAAGTAAATAATAATAATAAATAAATGAATCACTTTATTTAAGTGTCAAGGTGTTCAGCACTACTGTACTAATTGGGACACTGAAAATATGCAAACAAATATTGTGAATTAAACAGAAGCTTGTTAAAAATCCCAACTGGCAGGAGGCTGACTAGTTGACTATTTACAAAACATAGAGGAGTTGAATTTGAGCAAAATTGTATCAAAGGCTTATTTAATGTCAACATACAAGTTTACTTGATAGGTTGAGAATTAATTTAATTAAACAATATAAGAAAACTTCACACTATGATTACACATCATTACTAAGCACCAAAATGACTTAGCATTTAGTGGTGAAGATCTTGTTTGCAGATCATTCATGTTTGCTTTGAAACATGATAAAAATCCCAAATGACATGGATCCATGGTTTGTTTCCTTTAACCCTTTACTCCCTAAGAGTACCAATTGACACAGTACATCATAACTTTGTGAATATTTGATAGATTTCTATGATTTTTTGCCACAAAAATTGTCTTGTGAAGATCTGCTCATTGAAGTCATAAAATTTTGACCCCCTCCTATCTAAGACATGGTTGACCACCCCCACAAGTTTTTAGTTCCTTTTTTGGAATGCAAATGGAATACAAAACTTGTTTCATATCAAGCTATGCACTAAGAGCTGCTAAATAAGCTATGGTTTAGGGGTATACCTAATATAGTAGAAAATTGATACATTTTTGAAGTTGTTCATTTTCCCATTTTAAAGCAATTTCTGTCAAAATGTCTACCTCCTTCATGGCTGCTGATGGCAATTCTTAAATAAGCTGATTAGTGGCTTTAAAATGGTATATTGTACACAGGCAGAGTGTCTTTATTTGCCAATTTGGGAAAAACTGCAGTTTGCCTGAGGGGGTAAAGGATTAGCCTGTCCAGACTTCAATGAAACATGAAACAAACTTCTGCGTTAAAAAGCACATGTCCCTATAATGCATTTCTAAGCTTACTTATTACTTTGTGTATGCTGACGTATTGAACCATGATGCTGTTTTTGCATGCAAATTATATAATTAATGTCCTGCCAAATTGGTAATGTCGGGCCAAAATAGACTTGAAAGGACACATAAGTCCGGCTATATAATACGTATTAACTTATTGACTGAATGCGAGGGCCAGATGGGAAAATAGTTGGCTAAGGTCAGGATGTACATGACTGTAGTGTATGGACCAAGTGCAGTGAGGTCCATACATTCCAACTTAGAGCCAAATATTTTCCCATCTGGCCTGACCTCATGCAGCCAATCAGCATTTTATCTATTGACCATTTTCTTTTTATCATTTCAACTTCTTCATCAGTTCGCCTGAGTGTCTTTCTTTCTGTGCTTTTGGAGTAAGTAATGGTAATTGAAGTAGTTCTGCATTCTTCAGGTCATTTTAGCGGCCAAACACTTTGACGTGTTTGGCCCTCATACTGCAGGGCCTTTTTTCTTATGGTTTTCCTAGGAACGTGCCTTCTGATATTACGCTATGGTGCGATTTTGCACAATTGAACTTAAATATCATCCGATAACACCGAGCTGTACAGATCTTATTAGTCAGGCCATACAGGTCATATGATAATGAAAATTATTTCCATCACTGATGAGTACTGTATATAGTACATAAGCCATGTACTTCAAATCTTTTAGAAAGAACTGTATTTTGGTTTGAAAAAGATTTGTGATTTGGTAAACTGGCCAACACCCTCTCAGCTGGGGAAAAACATGATCGCATTTAACCTAGAGAAATTATATTTATTAAATGTAAGTTATGTATAAATTTTTATATCTTTTTTACTGCTGACAGATCCCTGAAGGAGAAGTTGATTCCCTGCCAGTCAATTTCTTTCTCAACAATTTGTTGTCCTTGGTTTCTCTTCACGGAGATTCTGGGAGTAGCAATCTTGAGTGTGATAATTGTGAAAGTGGTGACCCTCCTGTCAATAGATGTGCCACATGCTGCCATTTCCTCTGTGAGATTTGTACTGCAGCGCATAAACGGGGACGCAGCACCAAAACTCATCGTCTGATGTCTCTTGAAGAAGCCAAAGAAGAGGGACCTGTAGCAGTCATACGTCCATCCTTGTGCAAAGAACATGAGGGAGAGATCCTCAAGTTATTTTGCGAGACATGTGATGAGGCTATATGCAGAGACTGTGCTATTGTCAAGCATCGTGAACACAAATATACTTTTGTTAAGGATGCTTTCTCAAAGGGTAAGGAGAGTGTGTTGAAAATTCTGTCAGAAACGAAAACAAAGGCATCAGTACTCAAGGAGGCATTAGATGGTGTTGCAGAAGTGAAAAGAAGTGTCCAATCCCATGCAGAACAAACTGCGAGAGAAGTCTTCAACTGTTTTCAAGAACTAACAGCTTGTCTAAATACTCGCTGTAATGAGTTAATTTGTAGCGTAGAAGAGCTTAAGAAGGCTAAACTGAAGCCCCTGGAAATACTGCAAGGGGAATTGGAAACAGCACTAGGAAGTGTGCAGAGCAGCATCGAATTCACTGAAAGGGCTCTGGAACTTGGAAGTGAAGTTGACATTTTGAACATGTGCAAACAAATGTCTTGCCGATCACAAGAACTGAATTCAGCCAAGTGGCAGCTAGAACCGAGTGCCCATGGTGGCTTTAAGTTTCTCCCTGATTACCAACTGCAACGAGCATTGCCAAGCTTTGGTGATGTCACTGATGTGTGCACACATGCTGCTTCATCAACAGTAACAATGGGACATGGATCAGAAGGTGTCATGTACAATACACTAAATGGACAATTGATCGAATTCTTGATAACTGCTAACGACTGGAAAGGAAGTAAACGAAAAGAAGGTGGTGATGTTTTTGAAGTAGAAATCTCCACAGAAGAAGGTGAAATAGTTTTTAATAAGCGAGCTAAGGACTGCGGAAATGGCACATACAGTTTTTGTTTTACTCCAATCCATGAAAATAAGAAGCACCAGTTGTCGGTGAAACTAGATGGTTGTGATGTGAAGGGAAGTCCTTTTACATGGGTCAATGAAATGTGGAATCTGTGCTCAGAGGTAGTAGATGATTTACGTGAAAAGTCACACTATATTGAATTGACACTGAAGAGAACGAGAGCAACCTATTGTCACACAAGAGCACAATTTGAAGATCAGAATTCACGGAGGACCATGCTTAGTCCTCCGCCCACTGGGGACGGGTGCACTGTTTTTGGATCTTCTTCTTTTGGTTTTGGTAAACATTCATGGAAAGTCTGCATATCAGGGAATTTCTCAGCTGGACTTGTTTTAGGGGTTGGTGTAAGCCCACAAAAACAATGCCCTTGTGAATTCCGGTGGACATGGACCAGTTCAAGAAGGAAATTACTACGGAAAAACAGTGGTGTATTTGAATTGTACCTAGACTGTGATAATCACACATTAATGATTTACAATCAACGTACCAAACAGTTAGAGAGAATGAGGGGAGTCCAAGGAGAAGTGCGCCCTATGTTTAAAATGAGCAGCATTGGAGATGAGGTTTCCTTGCCTTGCCTGGACAAGAAAAATGAAGATGGAACTTGCCAGGACAAGAAAAATGAAGATGGAACTTGCCAGGACAAGAAAAATGAAGGTGGAACTTGCGAGGACAAGAAAAATGAAGGTGGAACTTGCGAGGACAAGAAAAATGAAGGTGGAACAATGAGTTGGTTGCGTAGTTTGAAATTATGGTGAGACAATGACCCGTTGAAAATTGGTTTTGTCTGGTCAAATCATTAGATGACCAGACATTTTGTCTGGTCATTTACACTTCAAAGGAAAAGTTGATTCAGACCTAGTTCTATAACCTAAAGTAAGTTGTACATTATTCACCTTTCTGAAAGAAAAAAAAAACAGAAAGCAAGCGAAAAATACGACCTGACCACCTTGACTACAGTAAAATTTCTGGTAGTTGTAACCCGGGAGTTGTAATTTTCCATTTTTTCATCCATCAGTCGTGATTGCAAAGTACTGGATCTTCCAGTGTAGCATGTCTATCAGTGTGTTAATGCTAATACAGTCGAATTTCCATTAGTGGCAACCCAAGTCTCTACCATGGCCACTGTCCTTGTTTTTTAGTCTCGGTAGATGGTCCATACATTTACTCTTATTTTATTCTCTCCGCAATGGCAATGACCACTAAAGAGAGTCGCAACTGCCAAAAATAACCTTTTGAGAACAGCCAGGTAATCAATGACTGACGCTTGGTGTATACAAAAGCTCATTTTTTTAGTGCCTCTTTGGTCTCTGTTTCTGTTAGGTTTTGTTATATATGTATATATATTTTGATAGTGTTATGTATTTACATGCTAAAACAGGCAAAAAAGGTGTCATATTACACCCCTACCTTGCCACAATGGCCACCTCTCTACAATGGCCACTGTCCTGTTCCCAAGGTGGCAGTTGTGAGGAGGTTTGACTTTAATCCTTATTGTCTGGGTGGAATTTGCCCGCTAACTAATGTTGTGACCTAATGTGGGAAGTGAAACATGCCTCTTGTGTGCCTGGTACAAAGGTCTGGGCTACTCACTAAATAAATATAAAATCAAACCAGGCATGTATTGAATTGCAAAACCAAGAAGAATAAATTAATCAGTACACTCAAGGATTTAAGAAAACTATAATGAGGTCTCTCATATGACCTGACTCACATGCCTAATATTAGGGGTATTGAATGGTCTTTGCGAGCCTTTGCAAGCATGTGAGCAGTGTGTTTATTTTTGCAAGCATGAGCACTTTAGAAAATACAGATGGTGAGCTGTGAGCACTTAGTAAATTTTCTGCTAGCTGGAATTTTTTTTATTAACAAAAAAAAGTTTTTCGCCAATCTGGCTGACACCTCCAAAACAGGACAATAGACGCAATGCTCCCATCAAAGAAAATCCATTAAAGGCATCATGAAAACTTCAACCTAACTTGGCCAACACCTCTACCACTTGATTTACTGAGATACCTTCCTGATGACAATTTTGCGAATTGCAAGCTTCTAGTAAGCATTATTAAGCTCATAAATTTGAACTTTGAAGACACTAGATAAAAGGCATCTTCAAGCTTTCTCATTGTAGCCATGATGATTTGTGACATTTCCCATGAAACGATACAAAGATAAAAAACGATCTCTGATTGGACAAGTTTCAAAAGGCAAATTTGGTGCCAGGTTCTTGAAACCGAAACCGAAGCTGTGATTGGCTAATTTCGACAAAACCAAAACTAAAACCAAAACCAAACCAGTTTCTTACCAATTAGACTATTCAGCCAATCTCAAACCGTAGTAAAACCAAAACCAAAGTAAATGCCTAATTACTTTCAATACTCATTTGAAACCCACTCTGTCATGTATGGATTATGTCTGGTGTCAGGCCTGTGAGTCTTACATAAACAAATCTTAACATTTACAAAAACGTGTATTACGTAAATTTCATGTACTTTGCAAAGAAAACTGAACATACCACTCCATTTTTTATTTATGCTAAGTTTCTACCTTTAAACTTTTTGTAACGTAAAACTTTATCTGAATTGATGCATGATGTTAGCACTACTTTAGCACTAATCCTCAAAACATTCAGTGTCCATTCTTACGACACACACTCTTCTTCTTCAAATAATTTTTCCATTAAATCCTCAAGACTTGAGATACAAAAATATATCTTTTCAAGAATCTGTGCTAAACTACGGAATGAGATACCATGCTCTCTGAGAGGACTACCAAAAAAATATTCAAACTCAGAATTAATAATATACTACTAAGTGTTCTCGAAGAAGATTCTTTTTTTGAGGTACAGTATTACATGTATTTCTAAAGTAAAATCAGTAGTAAATGAAAAAAAAAAGTAAAAAGAAATAGTAGATGTACATATATTAACTTATTATACTGATAGCCCCTCTGGTAGCATGCCTCAACAAGTGTAACCTTTCTATTGTTTTTTTTTTAGTAATAATAAATTGTCTTGTAAATAGTGTAATTGTATTATTTTCTATAGTGTCTATCATATTGCATATCAATGTAACCCAAAGCTGTTAGTTAAAGTCCTTTTTTCTGTAAGCAGCATACTGTTAGTTGGTTGTATGTAATGTGTAGATTGTAATGCATAGATATGTACTCCGTAGGCTTTTTTTTGTAACTGTAGTGTAAGTTTAATTGCAATGTTGTTGTTGTAATTGTTCAAACAAATTTATAATAATAATAAAAAAATACTGATAGTCTCTTTTCCTTTTTTTCATTCTTGTCCCACCTTTCTATTTCATTTACTTTTTCCTAATTTTCTAATCTACATTTGTAAAAAAAACTCTCTAAGTAGATCTTGATAGACTGGCCTGCCTAGACTAGCACTGCTATCTGTGGGCCAGTCTTGAACTGTAAAATGCACAGAAATAAAGATTGTTGTAAGTTGTATATTAAAACTAATGGCCTTTATATTAAGGTGAAATGAAAGATAACTAAGTTTGCTTGTTTATTTCTGTGTGAAGAAGAAGCAATACAAAGTGATAATGGGATGCAAAAGTGTAATTATATCGATTTTACTGAACGTTGTGGCTATGCTATGTATTCCGTACTTTTTGCACTGAATATGAGCTACTTCTACAGTAAAAGCTCACTAAATGTACTAAATGCACCATGCTGAGGGAGGGGGGGGGGGGAGAAGTACTTTGTTTAGGAATTATGACATAATGCATAATTGTCCAGTCAAAATTATTTCTTGTCTGAGCAAAAATAGATTTGATTGGACAACTTGACCAGTGCCAGCTGAGAAATTATTTCAAGCACTGAAGTTACAAAAACCATATATAGCAACCAAAAATCCAAATAAATTGCATGGGTAGAGCAGCACATAGTGGAAAAATGAACTTGACAAGAAACTTTGACTAAGACCTAAACAGAGTTAATTGACAGAGATAATATTCTATATTACAAGTTCAGTGTTTATTGTGCTGTACGTGGTTCTAACTTTTACATCTGTGGATGAAACCCTAGTGTGTGACCATTCAAATGAAAGCTATTGAGCAGTACTTTCACTCAGCACTGTTTAGTATTCTGTACCAGGTGGTTCTAAGTCTATGGATGAAACCCTAGTGTGTGACCATTCAAGTGAAAGTTATTGAACAGTACTTTCCTGTGCTCTCACTGGCTATTAGGTCACGTAAGGTTGTTCTACTTTTTTAATTCTTGATGAAACCATAGATCAAATTTTAAAAGCTGTACATGCGTATTGCCATAAAAATTAAATTCCTTTCAGGGAGTTCCCACATTGTTTTTTTTCAGGGGTTGCCCCTTTACATTTTAGGAAGTTTGTGAATACTAGACACTCTTGAGTATGTACTTCCCACCAACAATGTACATGTATATGTATTTGTACATTATTTATCAGTACTGTAATGTCTTGACAGAGAAAAGATAGAGCCCTTGGTAACAGCAAGAAATTTTGTCACTAAGAAACAAATTATTCAGTTGTGAAACAACTAAAAATTATAATGGAAATGTTAGATTTTGGGTTTAACTTAGTGCCTTTGTGGGGTAAACAAATTCTTATTCAACTTATTATCACGAGAAATCAAATTTTTTTGCCTTGTAGTAAGGTTTTCAGTTTCTACCAGCCCTTTCCAGGTGTCCATCTTCCAACATATAAGCAGGTTTGTACTTGTTGCTACCGTCGTCATATTTTAAGGCAGGGTTTGGGGTTGTGTTGTGGGTGCTTCCCAGTGATGTGTATCCCTCATCATATAAACAGCAGTATGGAATACTGCACTCTCTGATCATAGACCACACATCAGCATGATGCCAATCCAAAATTGGATTTACCCTCATGTAGTGTGGCCAGTCTGGGTCTGTTGGAGAGAAAGTGCGTAGTGCATCTGAAAAAGGGTCATGCCTTCTAGTTCCCAACAAAATTGCTTTGATTACAGGCTGAGTTTCTTTCAAAGTCTTCAGAGCTGCTTTGATATCTCCCATCATAGTTATGAGGTTCAAATTATACCTTTCAGTTGTTTCTGAGATAAACTCTTCTGCTTGTGGAAATGGTGAGTCATAGCGAATGTACAAAGCCTTCAGTTTTTGGGGTGGGGTTGACAGCTTATTAACCACAGCATGTAACATGTGCAACAGTACAGTGCAGTCCTTGCCACCATTGAAACTGATACACAATTCGTCCAAGGAATACAGCTGTAGAGTTTGCTGTATAATGGCCCATGCTCCTTTAACACAGGCACTCGTGTTTGACTCATCCTTGGGATCCAGTAGACAGTACACTTTTTCCATGTTCAGTACCCGCTTAGAGTCCTCATTTGGAGGTTGACTGGATGGACCTGTTGAAAAAACAGAAATTAAAATACAACACTTAGATATTAACCAAGTGACAATATTTGCATTATTGTTACATGGTTGCCACAGACACACTTATCAAAATTCCCTGACTTTTCCCTGACTTTTCCCTGATCAAAATAAAATTTCCCTGACCAACTAAATACAAAATGTCAGAACTAGCAGTGGCTTTTGGTATTAACTTAGAGCCCTCCTTTCCACTCATTGAATAAGACTGATAAGTTGCCATTCCTTCTCCATTAAGTAAAAATATCATTGTGACTCCAAATGTTTCTTCCAGCCTTCAATGGTATTAAATCAGCTGTGCTATATTATTTCAATTTTCCCTGACTCAAAGTAAAATTCCCTAACTTTTTGCTGAACTTGAAGAAGTTTTTTCCCCTGACCATTTCCTGACCTGTGGCAACCCTGTATTAAGCATAACAATGGCTGACTGACTGGCTTGGTTGGTCATTTGAAATTTTCACACACTTAAACCCTGGTAACTCAAACTCCCAAAGGAAATGGGATTTAAGATAGCCGATTGTAAATGACTGAAAAAACATATCCAAAAGAAATTTATTAGAGTTTGAGACAGCCGTGGATTTGAGATACATGAAAATCAGGTCAAGATATCAAGGTTTAACTAAACTCAATAATTATACAGTGTAGGTTTCAGTTCTCCCACCCCCATCAACCCAGAATCCACCTTAGGAAGCCAAAGAGAAGAACATTACTACATGAGGAGTTAGTATTTTTGGATGTTGCACCTTTAACCTGTGATCAAGTCTTCTTATCTTTCACTGTAGTTGGAGAAGACGAGAGATGGCTGAGGGCATGATCTCCTTAACCATCCCATTAGGGTAACATTTATTTTGTGATGAATTCCTTTTCCCTTGGAAAGGGGAAACACAGTAGCACATGACTTACAGTTTGGTATTGATGCATCAGCAACACCTCCTTCTGTCTTCACAATAAGGTCCTCAGGCAATCTTGCCAAAAGGTAGTGCCAGGCCTCCTCCAGGCCATTCACGCTGTCTGACTCCACGGTCAACTTGACCTTGAATTCTTGATTGCAGACATTAGGATACGATCCTAAATGTACGATCCCTTTAAATTTCTCATCCACCTCATCCAAAATAGAAACTACATCTGTTTCGTCTGCCGAGAGGAAAATCTTTCGCAGGAAAAAACGTTTCTTGGAGTTCGAAATTAATAGAAGGCTTTCTAAAACGCCAAACCCTTCTTCCAAGAGCTGGGGGACACCAGGGAATACATACACGTTATGTGCAGAAATAAGCGGAAAATTGCTCGGTTTCCCAGACGAATCTTTTCCATAAGACAGCTTGACTGAGGAAGGGACACGGGCCATTTTCAGATGGGACGAGTTGATTTGATGTTCTGAAAGTTCATACACACCCGAAATCAACCTCACTAACTCTTCGTTGAGGACTACATCTTCCTCAAACGCTTTGGCGATTCCCTGCATTGTAACATCGTCGTGAGTAGGGCCAATTCCACCGGTGGTAATGACGACGGAAAATCGAGAAGAGAATTTTTTCACTTCACCAGCAATTTCATCCACATCGTCCGAAATGACCGACACTTTTCCCACCTTGACTCCTAAGGACCACAGCTTCTTCAGTAGAAAATAAGAATTCGTATCTTTTGTATGACCCTTTAAAATCTCGTCTCCAATAATGATGATTCCGGCTGTACATTTGAAGTCATCTTGCATCACTTCGTCCGCCATTTTGATTTGACCCTCCAAAAAAAAGATATCACGTGACTATAACCTTTGGCAACCGAGTCAAACAAAGATGGCGGACTTTTTGCAAAATTTGCTAGACGAGACAAACATTTGCGAGGATTCGCAGATATAATTTTGTCCAGAACTGCACGTGAAAAAGTGGATCAGTTCCCGTTAGTAAGTTGTACTTTTTCTCTTGTTATATAAGAGTAGAGAATACTGGGTTATTTTGTAGTCAGAATTGACTTTTGCAGGCTGTGACTGCAGTGGGCGCGAATTCCAAATTTTCTACTTATCAACGAGCGTTTCACTCATAGCTTTCTTTTGTGAGATCGTGCTCACGTGAACTATAAACCCACTAAGCTGCACGCCGATGATTAACTCTTAAACTTATTGATTGGTGATACTGGCTAAAAATTTAAAGCCTTGCTCATTTCACAGTCAATTGTTACCAGTACAGCTTAATTTTTGGTGCTTTTCTTAGCTTTTGTGATGGATTGATCGATTCTGCGAAATATATTTTTATTGCCGATTTTACGTTTACAATTAGTGATTTGCAGCAGAGCTTGCTGAATTTTTGAAAGTAAGAATTGCTTCAGGCCAGAATCAGATATTTTTTACAATTCTGTGGCTCTGAGATTTGAGCTTAAGCTTAACTCACTAATTCA